TTTTTTCAGGAACCGTCCCCCCCCCCCCCCCCCCCCCAGTATTTTACGTTCATAGCATGTTCGCGATCAAAACCTCATATGGCAGGATACAGATAACTAAGATGTTCTAACAGTTTAAACTGGTTTAAGAACAATTGACTTCCAAAAGCAGAGCAGCTTGTCCTCTTGCTGCTGGTCCTTCTGAGGCTGGTCAATTGAGTACCCAGCTCACTGGGTGGGTAGGCCATATGTAGCCTGCACCATTAAATTATTTTTTAAAAACCCTGAGAATACTTTAAGTGCTGTGGGGCGGTATATAAGGAGCATCCATTGCTTTTAAGTGCATGAACTTGGCCATGATCCTGGAGCCGAGGAGGGGGTGAGAACGAACCCTCTCCTACGATTATTGTATTTGAATCTGGGAGATTTGGAACTTAAGTCTCCCCCCTTTGCAAACGACAAGCGCTTTGGAAGCACAACAGGTGCCTTTTACAGGCTTGGCTTCTGTGTCACACTGAGGCCACCCCACACTCGAGAGCACGGCATAGGCATAAGGAGAAGCTGGTTGCAGAGAAATTAGATACGGGGAGAGAGATCTGGGGCGGAATATAAACAGCACACTTTGCTTTTTTGTCTTGATAAGAGGGAAGAAAGGGGTGATCTTTCCCTAAACCAAACACACACACACAGAAAAAGGGAGTGCGGATTGGGGAGCCCCAGTCTGTGGGGCGAAATGTTCCCAGCAGATAGATTAGGGGTGGCAAAGATTACCTCTGCTTAATCTCATTAGACTGTCTTGAAGTTTGGGGGGGGGGGGGTTGGCATTCCTGCTGAAAATAGGGGATGGAATTCTTGGTGAAGGACCTGAAGGGAGGACAGGCAAACTGAAGGCCTGGGCCAGACACAATTTGGGTGAGCAGGTTTCTCTGGCCCAATCCTGGATTTTTGCAAGGGTGTGTGTGTGTATATATAGACACTGTTTTCAGTTTATACACGAGGCTTGGCAGGGGAGCAGCATCAGGGTTCAGAGAGAGAGAGATGAGGCATCTTGGAAGATTCACCCCAAAACAGTTAAAATGGCGACCGTGTGTCTTGTATGGGGTTTCTGGCCAGGCTGCCTACCCTGTTTCCCCAAAAGTAAGACCTAATCTGGAAATAAGACCTAGTATGCTTTTTCAAGATGCTCGTAATATAAGTCCTACTCCAAAAATAAGCCCTAGTTCAGTGCAATCCCGCTCTCCGCCCTTGTGCAGCAACCAGAAAATGGCATGACTGCATTTCAATAAATGGAGGTGGATGTACATGACAAAAATAAATCATCCCCTGCAAATAAGCCCTAATGCATTTTTGGAGCAAAAATTAATATAAGACCATGTCTTGTTTTCGGGGAAACAGGGTAGCTATCTGGCCCTCTGTTAATCATGTTTCCCACCTGACCTGTTGGCCTGAATCCTGCCTACTGGCTCGTCCTTTCCGATGGTCTGGGACAGTTCAGCAGAAGCCGAAGATGAGTGACTCCGTTTACGAAAATGCAAGCCATTAATTGAAGTGCCTTTGCTATACTGTAATTTTGCAAGGTGGTAGTGGTGATTGCAATTCTTTGGCTTCCTTGGGCCTCTTGGGTAGCAGGAAACCGAAATATTACGTCTAAGAAATGAATGAACTTGATGGTGTTGCAGGGGGAGGTGGCAGCCATGTGGCACTGAGTAGGTGCCGTGTAGCTTTTCCAAAGTTGGATTTTATTTTATTTTTGTTTTTTTGTGCTTGTTGACAAACCCCCACACCTTCCATGGCACAAGAGACTCGGACCGAGCCAAGTTGTGGAATTGTGATGATGATGCAGAAACCCTGCTGAAAATGAGCATCTTGCTGGCAGGCTGTGGTTGTGTCTCACTTCCCAGTTGATAATACATTTTTTACCATCTTCGCTGTTTCCGACATTTGTTAATATTCCACAGCCAAACACCATTCCTTTGATTGAAATCTATATTCCTATCAGATTTTAATTTTCAAAAATCTCATGGCCTGTATTTTCTCTCCAGTGGCCTGAGAGAGTTCCAAAGGCCAGATTCACTGTAATCTGATAAACACGGTCCTCTCATTTCCCTATTCTAATCTAGCACTGCTTGAAATAAAAATGTATTTTGCCCCCTCTTTTTTTCTCCTTCCGTTGTTTCTTTGTGCCAGATTTTAAACTGTAACCTCACCTCTGCCTCCAGGTCAGGAATCTTGTCCTACTGTTCTTTATAAAGCTTCACACCCACAGCAGGATCACAGTATTCAATACTTCAGACAATTTCTGCTCCATTTAACTGTTTCTCCCTATTTTTACAGGACTTGGAAGAGCAGTGTTCAGATGCAGGTATTTCTCAATAATTTTTTTCTAGCTCTTTCTCCCTCCCTCTCTCTCTCTCACTCTCTCTCTTTTTTTTAAAAGGATTTATCCTTACAAGACTATACAAATGTATAGCAGACAATCGACACCATTTCGAACTTGATAAAGGTGTGAACCACAACTGTATCTCTAGCTCTGAGAACTCATGCTAGTCGTTTAGTGAATGAACTTTCTAGGTTTGAAAGGTATTTATTTAATGTAGACGTGTAAATAGTTCAATTTAGATTTACAAATGCAGTAGAAGAAATGTTAATCAAAAGTGTGCAGAAGACGTTCTACCTGTAGAACAGACCTTTAGGTTTATGTGTATATACATATATAGAGATAGATAAATATAGATAAATGATTGCATGATCAGTTAAGAGTAGCGATGTTAGTTGAAAGCATTAAGTGAGTTAGAAGATCACAGAAGAAGGAAGACAAGAGGTGCTTCGTGGAAATTACCTAAAACAATATTTCCTTTCTTGGACTTTCACACATCATCAGAAGACATTCCTCTTTTCATATTGGACTGCCCAGCTTTAAACAAAAAGAAAGAAATTCAGAGTTTGAAATGGAATTTTGTTTTCTTTGATTCATTCCGTTTTAAGTCTCTTGGAATTTGAGAAGAATAAGCCTCTTGGAAGACCTGTCAAGAAAAAAATTAATATAAGACGTTAAACTGACAAGGTTTTCGTTAAACTGACAGAGTCGTATCTTTTTCTTCGTACAGTATGATCTTGCTTTAGTAAGCCATGTCTAGTTAGCTGTAGGCGTTTGAATGTGGTCTAGCCGAGGGTGTTCCAATCTCTGTGTAGATTTAGCCGTTCTCTCGGTGTTAGTGGGGCAGCCAAGCCCCTTCCGCATTTGTCTTTGCTGTGTTTCCCTGGTGATTAAACCTTGTGCCATTCTATTCCTGTTAAATCCATAGAAAATGAGAAAATACTCGACAATTTGGGTGACACTTGTAAATCTGAGCCCCTTAAAGAGGAAGAGGAAGAAGAGGAAGACGCAGAAGAGCCCTCCGAAGTGGAGCAGGCGCAGGAAGCGACCAGCCAGTGGCCCGGCAAGCTGGCGGAAGAGGAAGAGGCGCTCGGCCCCGCTGCTCAGCCGGACGAAGAGCTGTTAGACTCGGAGAGCCGTGCGGGCCGGGCCGCGGCCAAGAAGGAGGAAGAGGAAGGCGAAAACTTAGGGGTAGCGAAAGGGAAGCCGAGCGAACAGAGAGTTGAGGAAACCGAGCTGGACTCTGACTCTTTAGCGGTAGAGAGCAGGAGTGGTGGTGGAGGAGGAGGTGAGAGTAGCGGAGGCGCGCAAGCGGAGGAAGCCAGTAGTGAGGCAGCCGCAGAGACGGACGCAGGTCCCCAGGCGGCTAGCCCAGAAGCCGAGAAGATGGAAGCCAAGGCTAATGGTGAGGAAGAGTCCTCCGCCACTAGAGAGCCCTCTGCCCCAGAAGGGGGTGATCAGAACACGAGGTTTGTTGCTTCTCCGTTCTAGAACAGATGCTGTATTTTTAAAAAAGAGAGAGAAAAAATCTCTTAAGAGATGGGGTTGGTGCATTTCTTCTAATTGGCCTGCCAGATCCCTGAAACTCCTTACCGTGCCTAAAACGCATCTTGTAGGGTTTCTTTTTCCCCTTGTCAGTATAAAAAGACCCCAAACGTGGTTCCCTGCTCCCTTTTTTTTGCAACCTTCCAAAGCAATATTAGAAAAGGTTGCATTTCTTAAACTTATGCATTTTGAGTTGTCTGCAAGATCTGTTTTGCCAGGGTGTCCCTAAACCCTTTGCTTATTTTGCTGAGATGCTTTTAATGTTGCCTTTAATACATAATGGTGTTGTACAAAACTAATTCTGGTAGGTACTGCTTTTTATTCCATTTCACATATTCCAAAACCCTTTGACTCCTTTTTCCCTTTTGATTTTTCTCTTCTGTTATTTCCCTCCTTTTTCTCTCCTTAGTTCTGAGGAGGCCCAAGATGCAAAACTGGCTTCAAAAGAGGAGAAAGGTACGGGACCTCAAAATCCTACCTTCATCCATCTTCAGATTCTCGCTCGTGGCTTGATAGCGTCTTGGTCTCAGAATGTTCCAGCTACAGTGTTGCCTTGCATAGCGATTGCTTCGTATAGCGATGAAATCGCTTTGCGATGAAGATTTTGCGATCGCTTTGCAATGTTCCCTATTGGGGAATTTCGCTTTGCGATGATTGGTTCCCTGGGGAACCGATCGTGGCAAAGCAATGCTTTTTTAACAGCTGATCAGCGGAAGGAGGGGCGAAGGGCCTGGCCCTGATCCCCATGCGCACCCCTGGGGCGCCAAGCCAGAGAGTTATGGCGGGAGGCGCTGCAAAGGAGGAGGCGCCCGACTGGGATCAGGGCAGCAGCGGCTGGACGGGGGGTCGTGCCAGAGACCCCCTCCTCACCCTGGGAGAGCCCCGCCAAGGAGACTGGGCATCGTCCAGGGCTGGCTGGCTGGCTGGCAGTGGGTGGCGCGCCCCTTCCCACCCCGGGCGGCTGCCTGCCTCCAAGCCCTCCTCCTGCCGCTCGCCGTCCAATGCGGACAAACCCCGGAGGCCTTCCTTTCAGCGCCCGGGGAGTGCGGCCCACCGGGCGCCGAGGGCAAGAGGGGGGTGGAGGCAGAGGCCGGAGCCAAGCGCCTTGGGCAGCCAATGCCCTGTCTGCGGTGCCGGCCCTGGAAAGGCTCGCTGGGTTTTGGGAGCGCCGAGGAGAGCCGGAGGAGCTCGGCCGCCGGAGGGAGAGGCCCCGAGCAGTGTGTGTTTGCCCCGCGGCTGCCCAGGCGGTGGCCCGGACATGGCCCGCTGCTCTGGCCCGCCCGTCTGTGCCCTAGGACAGCACCACCAAGGAGACCGGCCATCGTCCAGGGCTGGCTGGTGGTGGAATTTCGCTTTGCCATGATCCGTTCCCTGCTTGGGGAACCGATCATGGCAAAGCAATGCTTTTTTAACAGCTGATCGGCAGTTTCAAAATGGCTGCCCGCTGTTTTCTGGGATGGATTCCTCGCTTAACAGGCTGCGAAAATGGCCGCGCTATGGAGGATCTTCGCTGAACAGTGAGTTTGAAGCCCCTAGGAACGCATTAATCACATTTTAATGCGTTTCTATGGGCTTTTTTATTTTCGCATTGCAACATTTTCGTTTAGCAGCGATTTTGCTGGAACGAATTAATGTCGCAATGCGAGGCACCACTATACAGTGCAGTTCTGCTTCAAATTAGGTCCATGTTTCACCAGCCAGTGTCTGTCATGGCCATGACACGTAGCGACCTGACCTGTAATGTAGCTGCTTTGCTAGGCCGGCGGGTCCCTTCAGCGGTCTGTTTCAGGGGGGATTGTGGCTTCGGGATTAACAGCTTCCTGTTTCCAACCAGGTCACGGCGGCAGCAGCAGTTCCGGCCGGAACTTCTGGGTCAGCGGCCTTTCTTCCACCACCCGCGCGACAGACTTGAAGACCCTCTTCAGCAAATATGGAAAAGTACGGCCATGTTGAATACTCTTTGAACTGCGTGGTAAAGAGACAGACGAAGGATATTTATTTGTCCACTTAAAGTTGAGGGGATAAAGATGCTGTTTTCCCCAGCCATTAAGAGAGTTTTGGCCTGAACCTCACTGACCAGATGCCACAAATGGGTGGCTGACTTTCGCATGTTCCCCTGCTAATACATAAGTAATCCTTCAAATACATAAGTAAATCTAATGAATAATTTTACCCAACTGTGTTAAATCCATATACTTCCTTCCCTTCTTCAGGTGGTTGGTGCCAAAGTAGTGACCAACGCTCGAAGTCCGGGTTCTCGGTGTTACGGTTTTGTAACGATGTCCACAGCTGAAGAAGCCACAAAATGCATTACCCACTGCCATAAAACAGAGTTGCATGGCAAAATAATTTCTCTCGAAAGGGTAAGTAGAGAGCTTTTTGTGGGGGGAGGGGTATCCCCACCACGACTGAAGAATAAAGCAGCCCTCAACACTTTTTTTTTCTAATGAGAAATATAATTTCAGGCAAAAAATGAACCAGCTACAAAGAAACTTTTGGATAAAAAGGAGAGTGATGTGAAGAATGAAGGATCAGCCAGTGAAAGGTAAGATTTATCAAGCTCGTCCCCCTTCTTTCCCTATATATGTCTATAATTTTAATTGGAAACACATATATGCGTCCTTGCTAGCAACAATGTGTTCAGATGTGTCAGACTGATGAGTTCTACAGTTTGGCTCCCAGTTCAACTGCATTTGAAGTAAATCAGTTTCTGCTCCAGATTAACAATTTGGACTTGAATCTGTCTTGCATGCTTGCTTACTTGCTTTCTTATTTTCTTTCTTCTTTTGTCAGGTCTACCAGTATTAAAAAGCACGAGAAGGGCGACCAAAAAGACGATGCTAAGAAAGCTGACGAAAAAGATGAAAAGGGGAAGGAGGAGTCGAGATCTGGATCGGCTTCAAAATCGGGTAATCTGCAGTGTTTCTCACAGGTGTGGGGGGAGGGGAGAGAGTGTGATGCTTCTGTTGTGGGTGTCCCCTAATCCTGTGCCAGGTAGTTTAGTTCTCCTTCCTGCTTTTCTGCAGGGAGCAAAGGAACAGAAAGGACTGTGATCATGGATAAATCTAAAGGCGAGCCCGTTATCAGCGTAAAGACAACCAGTCGATCAAAAGAGAGAGTAAGTAGACAGCCACCTTGCCCTTGAGGCATGCTGCTTTAATTATTTACTTCATAACTAAATGGATGCATTAAAATGTCCAGCCTCTGTGGAAGAAAAAGGGCAAGGGGTCAGCCGGGGAGGATGAAACTTGTAGTACAGCACATCTTGAAAACCAGTATTGTGCACGGCTGCCCTACTCGGTCTGCGGCAGTAGAAAAGGTTTCTTCTCTCTTGATTGGAAAGTCACCTTCCAAATCTTCGTCTGGAATTAATTTGTCTTAGAAGGAAGCCGTCAGTTTATGTCTCCTTGGCTAGTCCAGTAGAAGAGTGGCTTTATATACAAGTAGAACTAGGTCGGTCTGCTCACGTGACTCGGTGTGTGGCTGAGAGAAAACACCAGGAGGTTTGAGCATTTGAATGGAGGCACAGAAAATGCCCCAAAACAAAAATCTCTGTGAACAACCCAGTTAGGTTGTTCTGTACGCCAGCAGTTGATTATAAAATATGGATCAGGAGGAGCACATGGGGAGGTCCTGGGAGCCCCCAGAGGGTTTCACGGAGTCTTGTTGGGAGCCGTAGATAGAAAGCGCCGTCTAAATTTAGATTCGCTCAGACTGAACCCAGCATTGACTCTCAGCCCTGCAACCATAACGCCATGACCAAAAAAAGCACTGTTGACCATGGCATTCTATGTGGTTAATCTCTCTTTCTCTCTTTCTTTCTTTTTGGTGACTTTCGATGTTCAACCCAGAGCACTAAGAGCCAGGATCGCAAATCGGAGAGCCGAGAGAAGAGCAGAGAAAGGCAGGGGTCGGAGCCCTTCGGCAAATCCCGAGGCAGGCATGAGGAGGAAGACCGACATCGGTAAGATCCGTATGGCAAAACAGCGGCCTGCTTGTTCCTTTGTGTGCCTCCTGGTCTTGCCGGGCAAGGCAAGCCTGGTGCTTCGCCAGTCAGGTCCCAGACCAGGGAAGGGGTGAGGGAGGAAGAGAAGGGCCCAGCAATTCTGAGATGACTGCAAAACTCACCACCGTAGACAAATGGGGCCGGCCAATCCAAAGCCATGGTCCAAAGAGAGGCCAGAGCGGGAGAGCTCCCAACCAAAGGCAGTTTTATAGCTCCACCCAGTCAGGGCATGGCGGCTGGGGTGTCCGACAGGAAGGAGGAAAATGCACCAGCAGGGTTTGGCCCCCTGGGACGATGAGCCCTTTCAGGAGTAGGAGGCCTGTTCACGAGGCGGCCTCCCCTGCATCCAGGCTCATGGCTTCTGCCTCTGAGGCTCCCAAAGGTGAGTGGGCAGCCCCACCCTTCGCAGACTTGGGCACCTCGTTCCTTCCAGGACCTGACTCCAAAGGGGGCCCCCGGAGAGTCTGGTTCGCTGGCCTCGTCCTCGCAGGAGAGCTCCTCTGCTGAGGTCGGGTTGTAATAACGGAATGCCATTTCCCTTCCCGCACCCTCGGTTTGCTTTTGTTTTGTATTCCGAGGAGAAACTTGAGCATAAAAAGCACATGCAGTCCTAAAGCGCCCACAAAACGGGGAACACAGGAACTCGTCATCCTGTGGGTGGGGGAAAAAAAACCGTGGGTGTTCTCATTGCACTTTGAAAGCCTAACACTTGGGAATTGGGTGACGCCGGGTAACCATAAATCCTTGGGTAGTTGCAGGATAGCTCATGCCCTCTGGATCATTAGAGGCAAAATGCTGTTTGCTCCTGTGATGAATTACTTAAGGGCTGTCCTTGGTTTGTGTGGCATTTATTCTTTTAGCCACGTAAAACCATTTGTTGTGAAACAAGTGTATTTTTCAACCTCCTAAGGCAGCTATAAAGTGTTTTATTTCTCATTCCCTTACTGTATTGTGCCACTGATGATCTAATAGAGTAAATGAATAAATAAGTAAGTGACAAAGCAGATTTGGGTGACTGGATGAAACAGCAGGCTTTAAGAGGTTACTGTGGCATGAAACCACCCGTTGTGTAAGCTGTCAACAGAGGGGCAGAGCAGGCCACAGCCTTGCCCACTTGGCCAGAGAGGAGGCCCAACGTGCCTGCCGCAGGGAACCAAGCTTGTTTCTTCTCTGCCGATGCAGCCGCTACCGCTGGGAAAAGCAGAAGCTCTTGGAAGCCATCAAAGAGCAAGAGGAAAGGGAGCGGCTGGAGATTGCCCGGGAGAAGCTGCAGTTCGAACGGACCCGGCTGGAGCGGGAACGCCTGGAGCGGGAGCGCCTGGAGCGGGAACGCATGCGCATTGAGCACGAGAGGTGGCGGGAGCAGGAGCGCATCCAGAGCGAGAGGGAGGAGCTGCGGCGCCAGCACGAGCAACTGCGCTACGAGCAGGCGCGCCGCTCCACCCTGCGGCGGCCCTACGACATGGATGGGAGGTGAGCTCGATGTGGCTGCTGCCGACTCGCGAGTGGCTTTGGGTAGAAGACGTTTTCCCCACGCTTTGTGCAGGTGGTCGAGGTTCTGTCCCCGGCGGTCTCCTCCTCGCTAGCCAGCCGTTGCCAGTTCCCTCTGCTCTGAGCTAGAGCAATAGGAAGTCTGATCTGAAGAAAAGCCGGCCCATGTTGCCAGCAGGGCATGAGTTTCTCTCATCTCTGGGGTAAGATGTGTATTAAGAACCCGCCCAGGTTCTCTAGAATGGATAAACAGAGGCATCTTCAATGTGTGCAAAGCAGCCCCAGGTACTCTGGAAATAAGTCTGAGGCTTTACTCAACTACAGTCCCTCCAGATACATATTCCTGTGTTCAGGAAACCGGTCTCCCTCTTTTCTCTCAAGCTGTTGCTTTGCCAAAGGAGGAGTGTTCCAGTAGATTGCAACTTTATGTTCTGTAGGCTTTTGGAGTCACAGGAAGGAAGCTTAAGGCTTTTGGAATGGGAAATGACGCATGCCCTCATGTGAGAGTTGTCTCCCTTTTTTGCTTCTCTGTTATTTCTTTGGCAAGGCCTCTTGCAGGCTGTTGCGTTTCTTTCCTCTCTTCACCCATCACCTTGGTTTGGCAGCTGAGGGATAACACCGCAGGGAGAGAAGGGGACCTCTTGTGTCCTGATTCGTTCTGTGTCCTTTTCCTTCCAGGAGAGATGATCCCTACTGGCTAGAAGCAAAGCGGATGGCGATGGACGACCGTCACCGCTCCGATTTCAGCCGCCAGGATCGGTTCCGTAGCTTTGACCACAGGGATCGGGGCCGCTTCCATGACCACAATCTGGACAGGTTAGGCCAACAGTCTCTCTGTGTTTGCCTCCCAGCTGATTCTAGCCATTCGCTTTACCCTTTGCTTGGGTGTACCAGGGAAACGATGCAAGGGGCCTCACCTTCAGCTTATTGTTATTTTCAGGAGAGAAAGTTCACGCAGCATGATGGCGGATAGAGACACACAGGTGAGCTGCTTTCAGGGGCCAGTTACAAAACTAAAGAGCGTTTAGTTTTGTAAATAAAGACGGCCGAGTCTGCTTCAAGAATCCCTGCCAGGCAGTGGATCTGGCGTTGAGTCTGCTTAACAGCCCAGTGCATGCCTTTTCTGCAGCACTATACAGACTATCGGCACCGGGGACCAGATCGTGACTCGCGGGACAGCTGGAGCAGCTACAGTTCTGACAGGCGCATGAACGAGGGGCGGGGAATCCCTCCACAGTCCCGGTGAGTCCTCGGAGATGGAGGGAGCGAGCCCCACCGATCAGTGCTGAGATCTGGAAACCACTCACATGAAAGAGAAAAAGTGTTGTGTTTCCCAGTACTCGGAAAGAACAGGAGTAGCCGGGGGGGGGAAGGGGGCAGAAATGTCACCAGTATTTTCAACCCAGCTTCCTTAAACCACCATATTTATTTGTACTGGATGTGGGGAAATATGGCCCTGGGCAGTACGCTGCCCTCGCGCTCCATCTTTGCAGGTCCTGGCCAGATTAGTTCAATACCATCCCCACCCTGGCCAGATCCATCCGTTTCTGCTCCTGGGACCCTCTGAAGCCCCTCTGGATGCGTGCAGACAGATAAAGACTTTCTCTGGAATATTTTCTCCTTTCTTCCCAGAGATGGCCGTGACTGGGGGGATCACTCTCGGAAATACGATCCAGATCGCTCCTGGCAGAGCAATGACGATGGGGGAACCATGGGACGGGATCACGACCGGTGGCGAGGTGACGTTTTCCAGCTGAACCCTTTCCCTTCCCTTTATGGCGGCTTTTAAAAAGCTGGGTGTAGACGAGGACAGGAATGGTGCTCAGCCGGCTCCTGCAGAATCCAACCCAGGACTTTGGGATTTTCAGAGCAGTCCAAGCTTGTGTGGCGTGAGTGTATCCTAAAGGGTTTTGTGTGTGTGTGTGTGTTCTTTCTAGGTGGGAGCCGAGGAAGGCGCGGCCACATGATGCGAGGGGGCATGTCTGGGTAAGCAGCTTTCTGTACTCCAAATCACAGCAACCTCTTTTCCTTTTGTCTTTCATAAGTCACCGTTTCTTAAGTTCCTCTGGCGCCTCCTTTCTTCTAATGCCAGGAAGCCCTTTCCGAAATTATGCTCTCTTGCAAACTACTGGGCAATGGCGTAGAAGTTGCAGTAACTTTTGTAATTTAATTTTTGTCTCTAGCATAGCATTGTTGCCCCTTTATCCCAGGCAAGAAAGAGGCTGGGTCACCTGATCTTCCGAATAAGGTCAAAACAGCCTCCACTCTGATTTTGACTGAAGGGGGGGGACACCTATTTTTGTCCAGTTATACTATTCCTGAACAGTGTTTTTTAATTATTTTGGCCAACCTTTGGCGGCGAGTTCTCTGCCATTCTAAAGCGTTCTGGATCAGTGATCGAGAGTCCCAAATGTGACAGGGCCACAAACCCTTTTCTCTTTTGGGATTTCTTTCTAGCCGGGGAGGGTTCGTGTCGGGCGGCCCGCAAGCCTCGCATGGAGGGGAGGCCCGAGGAGAAGACTTTGCAGGACAAGACAGGGGGAGCCGGCCGAGCGATCCTCGATTCAACCGTCACTACTGAATGTTTTATTGTGTTCTCTTTCCTTTCCCTTTTTTTTGAACTGTACAAATGGTGAGACGAGAAGAAAAGCAAAACACGCAAACCCCCCTACGCACACACACACACTACTGCTCTGTGTATCACTGACTGTGACTTCTAAGTTAACCTTCATTGTTTTACTTCGTAGCCCAACATGTGAAGCCATCTGGGGTTTTTTTGTAACGTGTTCCTGTCTGTGATGTTTCTCTCCACCCCGACTCCCAACTCCATGTGCATTCCCCCCACCTCACCCTCCACCAACTTAAAAATAAAAGCGTATTTCTTTTATGAGGCATTCCATTTTCTATAAATAAACAGTTTACAACTACCTGGCTTTCATTTTCAAATTGTACGCGCGGAAGTGTCGCAGTATTGGCCGAAGGGGAAAAAAACATGTTGAAACAAGGTGTTCATCCGCTCACTCTGAAATTGGTTTGGGTAAGAGTGGCATTTATTTATTTGATTTATATCTCACCCATCTGGTCGACCACTCTGGGCACCTTCCAATAAGCATATATACAGTAAAAGCACCTGCAATAATAAACCCAGAATAAAGAATGGTAGAAAGAACTGAGCAAGTGTATTAAAAGAAATGGGTGGGGGGAATGGCAAGAAATTGTACCGTGGGATAAGAAGAGACGAGACTTGTTAAATTGGCCTCAGAGGTCCTGTTGAAGCTCGCAGTCCTATCAGGAGCGCAGCACCTCATGTTCCTGTCATCCAGTGGAACCAACCCTATATCCTCCCCAAATTTTGTCCCGTCTCTTTAGGGCTGGTCCCAGGTGGCAACCAGGACTACAAGTCCCATCATTCTATACCTTCTAGGCAAAAATAATTCCTTTTGCCTTCCTATGATAAAATGATCCCTGCAAGTGTCAACCTTGTGAGAAACAGATGATCAGTCACTCTGTGCTTTAATTCACTTTCTAAGCTTAACTTTGAAAATCTGCACTTTTCTTTTGAGGTGGAATTGCATAGTTTTTACGTTGTATGGTTCAGAGTTGAAACAGCCCATCAGGGGAGCTCAGCATTGTGTTGAAAGAAAACAGATTTGACCTCTGCTCCTCCTTGTCACCTGCGATGATCCTCCTGTCTACAGTTCCTCAGCACCCGGGGGTTTGGGGTTTCCGGAATCACGCAGGCCTTCTCATTTTAGAGCCCATTCGATCTGATTTGGGTACTCGGGTGTAGTAAGGGGATGCACCAATTCCAGCAAGTGTCTTAAGTTGCACATAGTAGGGCCCGCAGGAACAATTTGTCCATAACTGGGCAGGTTTAGTCCTGAGAAAATATGATTAAGGGGAGATAGGGTAAGGTTTTTCAAAGGCCTGAAAGGTAGTCTTATAGAGGGGGAGCAGGATCTGTCCTCTCATCCCGGACAATACAGGACATGTCAGAATTGCCAGAATTTACAGGAAGCAAGATTTAGGCTGAATCTCAAAAAAAATTATTATTAGAGCAGTACGAAAATGGAAAAGTCGCCAGGATAACATTCTTCAAAGACTTGGAAGATAGGCATACAAAGGAGGGGCAGGATCTGTCCTCGATCATCCCAGAGTGCAGGACTCGTAATAATGGGCTCGAGAGGAAGCCAGATTTTGGCTGAATCTCGGGAAAAACTTCAAACTGCTGGAGTAGTATGACAAGGGGACCCATGATCTCAGAAGGTGGTGAGCGCTCCTCCAATGATGGAGGCCTTCAAGAGGAAATGGGACCACTGTCTTGTCTGATGTGCTTCGATTTGGGTTCCTGCCTTGGACTGGATGGCCTCCAAGGCCCCTTCAAAGAAGCCACGGCATTTTAGTTTGCAAGAACTGAGTAAGGTTGGGAATGATGGAATGTTTTAAGAGTCCCTAACCGGTTAGGGTTGCCCCAAGTTGAAAGCGAGAGGAAGGAGCCCTCACTCCTGTCCTGTCCTGTCCTGCACCCGCAGGCGTGATAGTCTGCCTGAAGGCAGGAGGAGGAAGAGAATGTGGTGCCCTCTCCCTAGAAAATAGAAAAGCAAGTCCATACCCTCAACAAGGAAAAGGAAAGGGAATAACCAGGATTTTCCTGACCTTCATTCATAGATTCAGCTTGAGATTTTGGTGACCTTGCTTCGTTCCTATCTTGAGTTTTGTCATGCCCTGTCCAGGAGACCCAGCAGGGGGATTCAAACCCTCACCTCTGGCTCCGCAGCCAGAGATCTCCACCCTGGAGCTGCTATTAATTTCCAAGGTCTTGATTCCAACAGGTTGGCGACCTTGGGAGCTTTTGAAAGTCATTTATAAATGGGGTGGACACTGGAGCCAAATTATTTTTCCCCCGTAGGGGGGGAACAGCCCTAGGGATTCGCAACCTCCAAAGAGTCCTCTCGTCCATATATTGCAAACCCAAAAAGCCGTGATTTCACATGGAGTTGAGCCATCTCACCTTCCTCTCTCCCTGCTGACTCACTTTTTCATCAGCTTTTTTACCTTCCCCGGGGGTGTTTTGGGTGCGCATGCGTGTGTGTTTTTTTTAAAGCATTTTAAAAGAGGGTTGGGTGGCACAACCTCTGGCATGCAGCTTCTCCCTAAAACATGCCAGTGCAGAATTCTTGATCTGTTCCAGTGCCCTTGCATCCAGTGACGAAGACTCGCTGAATGCAACACGCCTTCGCCAAGGAAAGGGAGGAAGGAGAAGCGTCGCTTTTCGAACCATGCTCTTCTTCTCCTATTTAAGTTTGCCTCTCTGGAGCACGGCTCTTTCCAAATCACCTGCCTCGGGTAAGATTTTGGTCCTGCTTCTCTTTTGGACTGGGTCCCATCCTTTGATCCAAAACGAAGGATCTGCAAATCGAATTAAACCCATTTGAAGACTCAAATTACTCCTGCACTTTACGGGACTGGTCTCTTGAGTTTATTGATAAGATCCTAACCAGAGACTTAATCCTGCTTTGTTTTATTTTACAATAACTCGGTTAACTCAGGCATAACTAAATTAGATTAAGAGGCATAACTATAGTACTGTCTTGGCAGGGTTTATTATTTTATCGTTACCAGCCTGTGGCCTCCACACTTAGTTGTGGATTGTAGGGCTCTGATGGAGTGTGTGAATGAAAGGAAATGAATAATTGTATAGTTTAATGGCACCAAGCGTTTGGAAAAGTGTAGATTTGGGAACACAGCCATTCCATTATTGCTGGGCATCGAAAATGCGGAGTGGCCATTTCATAAAAGTGAAGATTTTGTCATCATAAAGATGGTACGTCAAGAAAGGGTGGCCAGCGTAAGGCAATTGAAGTGAACTCAAATATGTGAAATTTCCTACCGTGGAAAATCCGAGGTTGATTTTTAAAAAAGAGAAAAGGGAAAGGGTTTTGTAAGGGTATAAATATGGACGAATAAGACATCAACAGTCATGACAGGCATCATCATAACAAGAAACTGGTCTGTTGATAGTACTGGGGCAGATTCATAGCAGCCGCAGAAAATCAACAATCGAATTTCCTCCTTAGACTTTTCGCTGGGTGAGAAAAGATTTTCCTGCCTGTGTCCTGAACGTGCTTAGAGGCTCAATTGTGCTTTTGATGCTAGGTATTCTTCTTTTAAAACATGGATGTTTTTCTAGGCTTTTACAAGACAACATTTAAAGCTCTATCGATATAAAGCTTTTTAAAAATTCTCATCAAAATAGGGTGGTTGGGATCCCAATACCATCGCAGGTGTGGTATGTGCCCCAGCCGGCACGGATCTTTTAAAAACAGGGTCACAGAGATGGGGTGGAAGCCCCATATTGATCGGAACGAGCCCGCTGGAGTTTTTCAAGTATTTTTTCCATCTTTTAAGCCAACGAAGCGGGGACCACACAACCCTTCGTAAAATACCATGAGCCGCTTTCCTACGACAGACGAGCATTTCATGAGATGCACCAGGAGGCAAAATCTGTGTGGTTGGAATTCGAAGCTTACCAAAGGTACAATTACGGCCAGGTTTTCCACTCCAACCCCCCCTCAAATGATGCGAACTTTCCACAATCATCTCTGTGTTGGAGAGAGAACCCCTTATCACCCTTAAATTTCTGTATGGCTTTAACAACAACAACAAAAAAATAAAATGCTAGTAGAGTAGGGCTCCTGTACCCATCGGATCAGTGTATCCGCTGATTTACTTACCCACAGCCTGAAAAGATTAAAAGAAAAATCCTAGAAGTATATTATTTTAAAGGGGAAGGTACCAGAACTCGCCATTAGAGGGAGCCAGAGACCATGATTATATTTATCATGGTCTCTGGCTTCCTCTAATGGCCGCCTGAAAAGATTAAAAGAAAAATCCTAGAAGTATATTATTTTAAAGGGGAAGGTACCAGAACTCGCCATTAGAGGGAGCCAGAGACCATGATTATAATTATCATGGTCTCTGGCTTGCTCTAATGGCCACTTATTTATTTTATTTATTTGATTTGATTTTTACCCTGGCCCTCTAGACAACGTCTACTCGGGGTGGCTTACATCAGTTAAAACAAGTTTTTTTTNNNGGGCGGCTTACATCAGTTAAAACAAGTTTTTTTAAAAAAAAAAAATTATTAAAAGAATACAAAATACACCTACTACTACAGAAAAAAATGTAAAATACAAAACAAAATAAGTTAAAACAAGTTTAAAAACATATAAAATGCATTTATACTAATTAGTTCTAAGCAACAGATTTCCAAGATGTTGATATACAAAAGAAAGAAAGAAAAGAAAAAGATAGAGAAAAAGAAAAAGAAAATCACTTAATTGACTGGGGGGTAGGCCTGTTTAAACAACCAAGTTTTTAATTGGCTTTTGAAAATTATGGTACCTTCACCTTTAGAAATATATACAGTATAGCATTCCTTAGAGAAATATATTTCCATAATGTTATTACCAGAACTCGTCACTAGGGAGAGATACATGGTATGTATAGCATTAACTATTAAAATAATGTTCACTACTATCCACATTTTTTAGTATCTACCGGGGGGAGGGAGGGAACCAACCCCTGGCAGATACAGGGTCCTCCTGTAATCTCACTTGCCTTGAGGCCAGCATCTTGTGGTGGAGAGTTCCATCAGATCACTCCATGTTGCCGTCTTGGCTGTGTTTCCAGAGTCTTCCGGCTGCGACTGCAGAGGGACGCAAGCATTTTGGCAAGAGGCTTTGAGCTCATCACGAAGGGGACCTCAAGGCCGGTGGATGTCTCCTACCTTTACTCTGGTGACCTGGAAGGTGTGAAATGAATAATCACATCAGTTGGTGGCGGGAGAGGGAAAGTAAGGCCAGCTTCATAAAATCAAAGAGAAAGAATTACCCGTTTTGCGTCTTCCTATCTATCTCTCCTGGGTTCTCTGCCAGCTGATCCACGGCCTTCCTTCTGTTGGCCCCCAATTATTTTTCAACAGTTAATTATTTTTACAGTCTGACTTTTCTCCACTCGCTGTCCGTCGGCTGATCTATAAAGAGCATACGTCATAAACATTGAGAGTGAGCGTTATATTATAATGGAAACAAGTAGCCTAAAAAGATCCTAGTTTGGACACAATGACTTTTTTTTTAAAAGCCATTTTATTTATATAATTACACCCGGCCTCTCCTCCCTGCTAGGGGAGATTATTTCAATTTGCAATTACATCTTGAGAAGCAGAATGCACAAAAAGCTTTTGGCCTCGCCGTTTACTTTTCGAGGTCAGGCTTCTAAGTCCTCAAGGCAATGAAAAGGTGGCCGACAGCATACACAGCTTTAAAAAACACACATCATTTTTCAACTACAAATCCCAGAATCCACAAGCCCTTTGGGGAAATTGGGACTTGTCATTCCAAACGATCAGGTCTTCCCCCTTCTCACCCCAAATGTTAGCTTTTCATCAGTCCTGAATTTTGATATTTCCTTAAGGCTGAGATGATGATATTGAGGCACAACCTTCCAACAGGGCAGCCAGGTTCCTTTTGCCATGGATCCATCCTGAGTGGTCTTTTCGAAGGATTTATCCAGACACCAAATGGCACCTATTACATCGAATCTGCCGGGAGACTCCCCACCAATGCTGCCCCTCCAGGCCATTCCTTCATCCACCATGAGAGCGATTTAGGTGAATTTTGTCTTGCCTGGCATAACCGTCCTTTGGAAATCTAGAGTGGCTCCATGCACGTTCTTGATGGTTCTTCGTGGCCCGAACGGTCTCTCTGGTCCTTGGTACTGTAGGATTTTGTGGCTGCCCTTGGTTTGTAGGGTCTTGATGCTTTAACGCTTCAGAGAGGAAACCAAGGAGAATCCAGCTGTGCTTCGCAGACAAGCAAGCCCGAAGCTGCGCTCTGCTTTGCGGAGCAAGAAGTGGCGGCATGGAACTCCGCCGTGCTTTGCAGACCGGAAAGCCATCCTAAAGGGTTGGGGGCCAGTTTGCGGAGGAAGATGCAACGCTGAGCTCTGCTTTGCAGGCTGGGAAATTGTGTCCTGGACCTAAGCTGTGGAAAGCGGATACATAGAGAGCTAAGCTTCGCTTTGCAAACTGAGAAACGGTTACTTGAACCCGATCCATGCTTTGTAGACCAGGAAGCCATTGCACAGGGCTGAGTTCTGGGTTGCAGACCAGGGTGCGGGTTCTGTGGAACTGAGCTCTGCTTTGCAGCCGGGGAAAGTGGTAGCATAATAATAATAGGCTGTGCTTTGCGGACCAGAACATTATTGCACGGGTCTGACTTCTGGCTTACAGCTTGGGACATCATTCCTCGGCAATGAGCTTTGCTTTGCAGACCGGGAAGTAGTGGTATGGAGCTGAGCTGCGGAAAAGGACTGCATATGGGGCTGGGCTTTGCTTTGCAAACCAAGAAATGCTTTCTATTGCATGAACCAGAGCTGTGCTCTGCAAACCGGGGCATGATGGCAGAAAACGGTGGCCGAGAGAATTGGCAGAGACCGATTCTGCAGATAAAAAGGGTCTTACTGTACTCTGTGAGATTTTGCTGTATGGCACCAACCTGATTCCTCAGCGCTTGTCCGTAATCTCCATGTCTCACTGTTAAGACTACAGACTTTGGCGAGACCTCGAATCGGCGTCTCTGGCTCGGGAAACGCACGAGCGTCTTCAGGATTTCCAGCAGGACCTCACAACGAAGGTGAGAAAGGAGTTGTCCGTGTCATCTGCCCTCTCAAATGTATTCCGTTTGGAGTCACCTTCTGCGCATGGACTTCCTGGAGGCCCCATCATTTCCACCCGGGGGGCGGGGGAGAAACAGGCTGTGAGTTGGAGGAGATGAACTCGTGATGATGGATGATGATGATGAATATTACAAAAGTCTCTCCACATATTCACATCTCTTTCAGAATCTCTGTTCCTTTTCTCACCCGCTCTGTTCAGTTTAATTTTTTTCTCCACAGTTGGGCAACGCCCCACGCCATAAAAGAAGCCTAGATTATGCCAAGCAATCTTGTCTGCTCCACTTAAAAGCCGATTATCTTTTCTACCAGAGGTTCGGCTCTGTGGAAGCTGTCATTGCCCAGGTAAGGAAGGAATTGTCCCGACACGCTGTCTAGAGTGGAGCAAGAACCTCTCAGATTATTCCCACCACCACCCCATGCCAGGAGAGAGAAGGGAGAGAAAAAACTGAGATTTTTCTCCCCACAATTTCCATGCCCTCTTAAAAACAAGCAGTTTTAAAAGTATGTCCATCATTTCCCCACCAACAACAACATTCTGAGGTGGATCAGCCATTTTCTCTCAGTCCCGTAACGTCTTAGAACAACACAAGGCCCAGGAAGATGATGGCAAGGGGTCTGGAGGTGAGCTGGTTTTGGATAAGCAATCAAGAGCATATAGCTTGACAAAAGACCTGCCCCTGGTCAAAACCTAACTTTTTAATATGCATTGATTCAACTCCCGTGTTTTTGGACTCACCTGCACTTCCAAATTTACTACCAAACCCCTGGCTGATGAGAGAGAGCTGATTTTATCATAGGAATGTGGGACACATCCTGCCTTCCGCTGTTTAACTCTGCCTTGTCTACTGGACTCTGACCGGCAACAGCTCTCGGGGAACAAGGTCACCTGCTTCATGATCTTTCCCTAAATGGACCTCCCAAGAATTAAATTAGGAGTCTCTTCCATGCCCTGGTACTGAATTCTAATCTTGCTCCATTTTTCAGGGAATGGCCATCGCACTTAATGATATCAAGGATTTCCCTCCGCCTTACCCTTTTTTTCTTCTATCCTTAGATTGCCAGCTATGTAAAAGCGGTGAATGCCATCTACGAAGGAGTGGAATTTGATGGAATTGGGATGATAGACTTCAAAGTAAAGACAGTTACAGTAAGATGGGTCCCACCTGTTCAGGTGGATTCCTAGTAGACACTGCGCGACTGGACTTTTCCTTTCCTTCCTTTCTGAAGCAGTGTGGCATGTAGCGGACAGAGTAACGGACGAAGACTCTAGAGTCCAAAAGAGCAAAAGGGTGGGGTACACCCCCCAAAAATGTATTATTTTATGTTTCACTCTTTTGTCTTACTTACCATTTCTTCTCTCACTGGCTATCAAATCGCCCAGGAAATTTTCCTGGTCACATCCCTAGTTTCCACCCATTTGCAGGTCATTGAAGAAGATGACCAGGCGGCCCCACCCTTCATCGGGCCCGAAATGCTCCTGATGCTTCATTCCAGGTCCAACTGGAACAGATACTGCCTGTCTTTCCTCTTGACAGACAGAGACTACAGCGGCGTCTTAGGGATTGCGTTTAATGGACAACCTGGTAAGGAATTGGGGGGGGGATCTGGTAATTTCTCTAGCACTTCCAACGGCATGGCAGGGGGTTCTTTCTCAGTTCTTCCTGGAAAGAGCCAACCTCCCAACCAAGCGAGGGCTTCACAGCATGGTGAGGGATCAAGATCGTAGGGGGGAAGGCCTGGAGGGCACCAGCGTGGTTGGACTTCAGGCGGCAGATTTTCAGAGGTGACAGCAGCGTACTGGAAGAGACACCTGGGGTAGGATTCCAGCCCAGAGGAAGGGGCTAAAGAAAGACTCACCTACCCACCCTCACAAAATTCAAAAGATCTTGCAAGCAGCTCTGGAGCGTCTTGAAAATGGCTGCCCCTTCCCCTCCTCCACAGGTGACTCAGGCGGGATTTGCTCCAAGCATCGGGTCTTCCAGGGCCAAGAGGCATCCTTGAACACGGGTCTGATCACGCTGCAGAAATATGGGCAGCTCCTGCCGCCGAGATTGGTTCACATCACACTGGCGCATGAGCTTGGGCACAGCCTGGGGGCTGAGGTGAGTCCTTCCTTCCTTCCTTCCTTCCTTCCT